AGAATGTTATTCAAATCACACGACCGGCCAGTCGATACTCGTTTACACGTAGAGATTACTAAAGGACCTTGTTGAATCTGGTGCAATTTTAACGATGAGAATTAATTAGAGTACTAGAGAATGATGCAATGTAAGATTTATTGATATACGATTTTAGACACAAACATTCAAAATAAAAATAATAAACAATTTGTATTTCAATTTGACGCCATGTTGTTTTGACAATAATTTGAAAAGTGAACTGGAAAAGTAGATTTCTCGTTGCACTTGTTCGAAATTCAAAATCACAGAATTTATTTTCGGCCAGTGTTATGTTATCGCTGGCAAGAATTTAAATAAAACCTTTTTGGTAGACTATGCAGTAGACTATGTAGCAGACAAACGTGGCCCATTGTGTGCATATACTAGTTTACTAGTGATTTCTATAATGTCGACCTTACAAACAAAAGGTTATTTTTAGAAACTTTGCTATACATTTGCGTAATATCACTTGTCTTGATATAATAAATTATTACGACAGATATCAATATAATAGTGAAAAGGCTGCTTGTGGTTTGGCTTTTTGTTACTATTTGAATAGGCAGGTATATTATTGGATTGAGTAATCAATTAGCAGCGGTAGGAAAGCAGAAACTGGTCAGGAAGAGTCGGTAACTAGGTTGCGTATGGATTTATGTTTCACTGTTAGGCAAACTAGACTATTAAGTAGACATTTGATGGGGCAAACATTCAAATGCTGTCTTTTATAATTATTTATTTTATTTAACGATTGAATAATTTAATATTAACTGCTTTACACAATTAATATTTCAATTTTGTCATTATTTGAGTGCAGATAAAATCGTAAACATTTCCGTACATATATTTCGTCGTCATACAAATGTAATATTTGCAAAACATCTCTTTTACAATGTACAAGACATATACTTAAAAATTTACGTTCATAGATTGGTGTAAAGAGACCCCTATTTTAACATCACTCGAATTTATATTCTCTAAGTAATCGTTAAATTAACGAGTGGTATCGATAACTTGCACCCGTCAGTTTTGTAATGACCAGTCTCACTCACTCGTATCTAGTAATTTGTCGATAATCCGAAACTCACATTATAGCTGTCAACCAGGAATTTACGTTTAATTATTTTATGAAATTAAATAGGTATCAATGATGCAAATTTATAGTTTATTATATATAATGAGAATGTAAATTCGTTATTAACCTACCTCCTTGATTTATTTTGGGATCAGTTATTTTAACAAAATAAATTGAAATATTACCTAGGTGATGTTTACTAGACATGATGGGTATCTAGAGTTATAGTTGCGTGCTTCAAATTTACTAAAAAGTAAAAGATATCTAAATTAGCTATTTCAACAATATTAAAAAGAAATAAAAAGATATGTACAGTTTTTTCTTTTTAATCTTTATTTATTTAGGTACAGGATTTTAATCTGAATTCATGTCAGTCTTATAGGAACAAATAAAGAAACCCTTAAACTAGTTGACTTAAAAAATTACAATATCAATAAAAGGTAACAAAGAAAAAAAATGAATTAATAGTGATTTAAACTGTCAAACACCAAGCGGTCACCGGTGACCGCAACCTATTGTTCTATAATTGTGTCTACAAAACCGGTACTCGACGAGTTAAAACGCTTATTTAAAGATGTAAAGTTATAGCTACAATAGATTTCTATACATATTGTATTTTCGAGGCCCTTGATAATGGCAATTCTTTCATCACACTTCGTCTGCCAACGCCTACCAAACTTAATACCTTAGCCTTTCTAAAAGCCAGTTGTATAACACAATTACTAGTATACTTTATCGCGAACAGTTTCATCAATGGAACACTGGTTTCTAAACTTCCTAGATACCATTTAAACCAGCTTCGTTACTTCACATAACTGACTAGGAATATTTAAACTATTTTATTAGTCTTTACTCCATTTAGTTTATTTAATACTAACATTTCATAATGAATAATTATCGTCCGGTTTGTGTATTAGTAAAGCGATTTGGAGATAGGGACCCAACTTTTGATATACGATGGACTAACCTGTCTTGGTTAAGTGCAATTTTATCTCTTGGACAGCGTTTAATGGATACTAAAACATTATTTCGCAGTGTTAAAATAGTGCTCATTGTTTTTGTAATCCACCTATGTCTTAGGAAATCGTATCACAAGTTTCTTTATTTTAAAAACATTGCCCCATACTAGGATTTTCTTCTGTATTGTGGGTGAATATACAAATATACAAGTTCACATACACATGACACCCAGACCCGGAACAATAATTTGTGGATCACATAAAGAGTTTATCCGCTAGAACCCGCGACACGTTGCGCGGCAGCTGATCGCCCAGCCTTCGTACCAACCGTGCCGTCGATTTTGAACTAGGTTGAGTATAGGAAGGAGACATGCCATTTAATAGATCTGCCTTGACACCCATCTTTATCAATGAACGTCTGACTGACTGCGAACAATGACCAGTACTAATTACTAGTTAAAAGGGCTTTGATTATTATCTGAGCAATAAAATTTGTCACAGTTTTGCAAGCGAAGTGTATCGAACTTATTACCATATTCGATTCGGAAAGCACTTGCTTGTCCTTAAATGGGAACAGGTATGTTGCGTAGGGTCTCGCAGACGGGCGGGTGGCACACTGGACTAGTTGCGAAAGTTAGCAGCACTAGGAGATAAATTCTATTCTATATGCGGAAGCAATCAATTTAGAAGCCATTTTAATTTTAAGTGTGTATTTCAACTATAATCGGTTCAAAAATTACCTAAGCAAAATACTGAAAATTTTCCAAAAAAAATATGTTTCGTTGTCAATGGTTCTTGCATCAAGGTTGTGTCACAGATAACAAATAGGTAAAAAACATAATTTATCGTATCATATTTTCAACAAAGAATACAAAACTCGATATCTTCAATTCAAATATCGAATAAGACATCGATTTAAAATTGGAATCGCCTATTCCCCGCCGGTCTGCACATTCGAACACGTGTGTTCACATCAGCTGACGGAGACAGAGTTCACGCACGCCCAGTCCTCGACTGAGGTCACATATCAAGATCACATACCTGTTTCGAATCAGCTCTAAACCAGTTCAGCAACATATGAATGTATGCATTGCTTACGTCATTATGTTTCCGTATAGTTCCTACAACCGCTATAGTAATAATAGCTGCAGAGGTTATTGTTTTATACGAAAGTGTATTATTATATTTATTTGAATGCAATTTTAGAAAGTAGTAAAGATTAATGATAAGCTTGATAGTTTGAAATGAACTGGCTTCTTATAGTGCTGTTGTTGCCTTTATAAGGATAAAAAGTAGTTAATCAATCTATGGGCTGAGTCTATTCAGATTCCTTCGGTAGCCTAAGATTACAAAAAAAAAATCTCTTAAACTAATATTAACTCGTCGAGTACCGGTTTTGTAGACACAATTATAGAACAATAGGTTGCGGTCACCGGTGACCGCTTGGTGTTTGACAGTTTAAGTTAACTACAGATGGGAAATCGTACCAGTGATCGTGCATATTTATTTTTACCTACAGATCGAGATGTAATTGATTATTAATCTTAATAATTAGCTATTAGGTCGAAATCTATTAGGACAACTTGCTTTGCAAACGACCAATAAATGTTCCAAGCTAGGCTTTTAGACTAAGTAACGATATAATTTCTGTAATGTTGATCGGAATGATAAAATAATATGTTACATATAAATTATACGAGTAATATATTCATATCGATTAAAAGGTTCTTTGTTCTAGAGATAATAAACATATGTTACTTCATATAAGTACGAAACATATTCTAATCGATACAATCAGATTTAAAGATATCGATTCGTTTTTGTTTTTTGTTTTTGCTCGGTCAATATGTCTTCCCCTTTAGGTACATTGTAACATTTAAATAAAGGCAAGCTTTTTATGTATAGATATATAAATATAATTATGATCCCAGTACCTTTTTTGTTTTGTTTTTGTGAATTAGATGTAGTATTAGATCATACGTGTTTAATAAATTCATTGAATAGATTGGTAGGTAGGACTGAGTATGTATCAAAACGTGTTCTTACAGAGAATCAAATTATAGATAGGTCTGTATTTCATCCATTACTAGTTCAAACCGAAGCCGAGTATTGCACTATTGTTTTAATTATTATTATTTCATGACGTGACATGGGTAACTACGGTTATATTTGTAATAAAAAACCTTAATGACTGTATGAAAAGCTCAAGAAGTAAAGATCTAGCCTATTCGAGTTAACAACCAGTAAAAAAGCTTAAAATATATTCCAATTGTTACAAAACGAAGTTCACGTAGTTCAATGACCTAAGTAATTAAGACATTTTGCAAAACGAGAGGGCATTAGAATCTTTTATTTCATTGTCACTTTTGTTCGTAGTTGAATGACCTTAACAAGATCCTTTATGAATCATTTTTCTATTTTTTGTTCTCGTTAAAATTATCTTTATAACTAATTATAACAAAAAAATTTTATTGTAATCGTTACAACGTATTTTAGCAGTTCTTATGTTACTTTTTGCCTTAATTATTACTTTTGTTAATGTTTAAAAGTTATTAACATAGACAAAAAAACCATTAGGTCTACTTAACAAAATGGTATGTCTCATTTTGTTAGTAACTAACTCTGATAGATACTAAACCTTTTTCTTTAAAAAACCAACATTGGCCGATTGATTACGGATATAGACGTAGTCAATCGGCCAATGTTGAATTTTTGTGTGTGTTTATGATAGAGGTTACAACTGTTCCTGGTATCTAGCAATAGGTTCAGTGTTCATACAGCCTATTATATTGTTATTGACAATATACCATTGCTGTTAAAAAGTGGCCATTTAACATTTTAAACGAATTATTTTTAACTTAAGAATTAAATACTTAGATCATTCTAAATTTAATTTATTTCATATCTCATGACAATTTTATTTATAAATGCTTTTTTTTTGTTCTCAGGCCCTAGTCGTGTGCGCATGCATAGCAGTGACGTCGGCTCAGTTCAGCCACTTCGATGTCGACTTTTCCGACTTCGGCACGAGTTTCGGAGGTCCGACATATAATAACTTCGCTGCTGCAGCCAGAGATCCCAGGGCTAACCCGGGTAAGGAGATTTAAAGTTATATTATAGCTTTTTGCAGGCTTTGTGTCTTATCGGTCGAGTTTTTTTTAAGTGCGACTACTGAGTATGATGTTTTGAGTTTGGATTCACGGTTTAGCCAAATCTGAACTTTGGAATTGTACCTGGTGTCTGTTAAAAAGCAGGGTTCTTCATATATTAAATTTAAGCAGAACTTTAAAAATTTCATGTTATAAATAATGCACTTTCCTCTCGACATCTATCTGTCAGTATTAAAATACCTACTTCAAAAAATATAAATATTAGATAAAAATGCAACCAGCCTCTAACTCGACACCATAATAAAAACATGCCGAGAGTAATTCTCTAGTTCTCAATGACACACATTTATAATAAGACGAACATAAATTCATTCTCAAGCCGCATAAATAATATAACCTTTGGCAATTAAAAATGTCAACTGTTTTGGGTATTTAAAACAATGTCAAATGGGACTTGCCCTAATGTTTCATTGCATTAAGACATACTTTGTCTGAAGGTTATGCGAAAAACAATTGTGGTCCGATGATTATCTTTGAGTTGCGTCAACATATAAAATATGCACTCGTGGGCAGCCTGTGCTGGTTGATCTCACACGCATTGCTGAACTTGAAGAATGCTTTGTTTGTAAACATTAAATTGAGTTTGAAATTATTGTTTGTTCTTTAACGCATGTGTGGCTGATCCAAGATATAACTTGTTTCTTAGATGTGAACCTCAGAATCTAGAAATGTTATCCAATACCTATTTCAATTAATACACCCTGGATCGAATTCTACACATAATATCTATATCACTTACATAAGATTAAGAATAATTTAAAGTTAATGTATAATTTCTTACAACTATCCTAGATCTCTTTGCTAGACTGCTAAGCCTTATAAATTAATTTCACTATCGCAATCAGTCATCGTAATGTAATCAACATCTCGTTGTATTCAATCAACTTGAGCATGGTCAAAATATTTCACAATGTTAGTCAAAAACGGATACACTTGATAACCAAGTCACCCGTGTAGATATAATCAAATTTAATGTTACGAAAAGTCCATTATGCATACAATTTTTGGCAGTTAAATATACGTTTATTATTCGTTCTATGTTATTCATGTCGTTGTCTAAAAACTAAGCGAATTTTGTAAATTAATTAAAGTTTCTTAGTCAAATCGCTGATTCGAATAGCCGGATTAGTTTCCGATTTCGTAGATCTTAATAAACGAACATTAGCGTGACGGAAATCAACTACAAAATTATGAGCAAATAAAATACTAGTTGCAGATATAGTTTATGACGCCATGACGATCTTATTGCCCATATTCTGTCCAATCAGTACTTAGGTATATTCTACAATTTATTGGTGAAATAATTCTATAGCGATGTTATTCTACACAAGGAGCAATTCCCCAAGGCGTGGCATTTACTAATGTCCGCAGCGATGAAATGAAGGAAGTACGATTCTAGTCGACAGTACTATAATTAATTGCATGTAACTGATAGGTACAAGGGTTGTATAAACTCTTGTTGTAGCCATTTCCAAGCGCTGGTCTTTTTAGTCCATTCCTAATGTCCTGTATCGCTTTACAAACCCCCTAGTGTTTTGTTTTCATGTCGTTTGTCTCTGTTCCACCATTAGCAAATCGATGCAGTCGCATTTCGAAAATTGAATTGCTTTTTCTAGTAGATAGAACATAGATAAGTGATAGCAGTTTGAATCTACTAACAACCTTTTACTGATTTAAGTCGAGCCCATTTAGCGCCCTAAAATCAGTTCCAGGAAGTGAATTAAGTGGTAAACGCAACCAATGCTCGGATTTTAAGCTTATACCTATAATTAATTATCCATTCAATCCAATACACTTTGATTAATGGACACACCTGAATTCCGGGACATAGAAGCATTAAGTACAAGGAGTATATTACAGCTATTACTGCATAATTTGGTGGTGAAAAAGTTACGTTCTCAATGAGCGGTGTCGCCAACTTTAATAAAAATAACATAACATCACGCCTTTTATCCCCAAAGGGGTAGGCAGAGGTGTACATTACGTCACTTAATGCAACTGTACAATGTAACACCTACTTTTCACTATTTATGTTATCGTTATGAGTCCTATGTAATAGGGGGTGAGCCTAATGCCATATACCGGGCACGTTTCCAGATTCAGTGCTCCTACTGAGATTTAAAAAAAACTCAGTAATACTTTACCCAACCCGGGAATCAAACCCGAGACCCCTTGCCCGACAGTCGCACTGGCGACCTCTCGGCCAACGAGGCAGAGTTATTATTTTTTTTTATAAATCCTTGCCCCACATTAGTGTTTTCTCCTGTGTCGTGGGTGCGTTTACAAATATAGTTCACATACACATGACACCCAGACCCGAAACAACAATTTGTGAAAGCAAAGAGTTGCTCCGTGCAGGAATGGGACCCGCGACACGTTGCGAGGAAGCCGGTTGCCGAGCCACCGCGCCAATCGTGCAGTCTATTTATTTATTAGTTAATATAAATCTATTTACTCGTATATTGCAATAGGTATAAGTACAATAAAACAAATTAAATGAACGACCACAGTTTCGTTGTTACGGAACCTATGTAGATTTGATACAAGACTTGTTGTATGGAGATTAAACATAATTAACTCTTAGACCTTTTCTGCGGCTGCGCAAACTGTGGGCTATTTGCATTTTGTTATGTCAGTTTGCACTGGTTTTATACTTTGTTAGACATGAGAACGATAGGTACCTATAATAGAACTGTATTTATTGTTATGAATGTAAATATTATAGACTGCCTCATTGGCCGAGTGGTAGCAAGTGCGACTCGGGCAAGGGATCTCGGGTTCGATTCCCGAGTCGGGCAAAGTATTGCGGGTTGTAAAAACCTCAGTAGTAGCACGGAGTCTGGAAATGTGCCCGGTATATGGTAATAAACTCACCCTCTATTACATAGGACTTATAACATAAATAGTGAAAAGTGGGGTTACTTTCTACAGTGGCATTAAGTGCCGAAATGTGCACCCCTGCCTACCCCTTCGGGGACTTATTTTGTGTAGGTTAAAAATGTATTAAATTAAATCTCTACACTTTATTTTATTTTAAAGTAAGACTTACTAAGATGTTTAATATCAGTGGTGTTGTTTCTTTTGGGTCCTCTTTTTAAATTTTCCTTAACTTTTTGATCATCCTTAGTCTTGCCATTGAACACTTACCTATTCGATAAAACAGTGATATCATTCAGTCACATCTCGTGCCACATTAATATCGTTCACAATCATACTGATAATTGAATATATTTCTCATAGTAAATAACTCATTCATTTATCGAAGTAGGTACCTATTTCAAATAATAGCAAATGCCTAGATTGGTAATGTATAGCCGTATAGCGACCAGCACATCGAAATATGTCAATTTTTGTCATTGGATTTTCAACTTTAAATTTAAACAATAGAATTGAAAATCTAATAAAGACATTTACACGCTATACATATAGTAAATAAAATGTGCACGCAAGCCCTTATTGAACCAAGTATCTTTGCAGACACTCTTGTTTGTATTCAATATTGAACTTAAAAACTTCGCCCTTATAATTAAAATTTTATAATATCAGTCTATCGTCGTCAACTGTATTTGAAACAAATAGAAACCGCGTTTAAATACTGTTTGAGTATCTTAATTAACGTTCCAATATCAATTTGTTTAAGGTTCAAAATAAATATTTTGCGATGACAAGAGCCATTGCTTTATCGATTTTAAGTTAGCAGTTTGATTATTATTGTAATTCAAATTTGGAATAGCATTTTCTTTTTTATGTTTCGATATTTGAAATGTTTTTTTTTACCAATACACCATTGTATTTATTTCAATAGTAAATTCTATTATCATGTATACATTATTTAAAAAAAAGTAGGATCGTAAATGCAGATGTTGACCTACTTTACTTCTTTACTTTCATTGACTTAGATTTTAACATTACAATACTAAATTTAACAGCTAATATTTAATTTTAACATTACTTATTTACTAACGAATTTTGTAACTTCTTAATTCATGTGAGAAGCCACGAAAGTTACATAGATACGTAAACATGTCAAAATGTAACACAAACATAGCCGTTGATCCCTGTGGAACATGATTTAAATTGTTTATGTTTCAAACAAAGGCAGACAGAGTCGACACATTTTGTTTGTTCTTAAAGTTTTTAAAGTAAATATAACGTTAATGTGTGGAATTGGTTGCCATTAGTTGTTATATAAAATTAGAAAATATACTTTAAGTTTTAGCGTCACGTATTTTGTAGTAATGTATGGACAAGGTCATGTTTTCTATTTAGGAATAAGTGACCTAGATTGTAGTAAAATACGATAGTTATTTATTGTGAGTTTATGAACTTGAAAATGAAAGCGTTTACAATATTAAGATTTAGATCGACCTATTAGAATCTACTACTGATTACCTATCTTATAGTATAGGGATAGGTAGTCCTCTAAAAGAAAGAACATTACTATCTTTTTGGGTTTTTTTGACTGTCTCGTTGGCCGAGTAGTCGCAAGTGCGACAGCCGGGCAAGGGGTCTCGGGTTCAATTCCCAGGTTGGGCAAAGTATTACTGGGTTTTTAAAAATCGCAGTAGTAGCACGTAGTCTGGAAATGTGCTATATGGCAATAGGCTAACCCCCTATTACATGGGACTCATAACATAAAATAGTGAAAAGTGTGTGTTACATTGTACAGTAGCATTAAGTGCCGCACTGTCACCTCTGTCTACCCTTTCGGGGATAAAAGGCGTGATATTTTGGATCTGGATTTTTACCACTAAATGTTGTTGAGAACTGATTACAATATTTTTCAACTGACAGTCAACTCATTTAAAACAAATACCATTAGTATTAATTCTCACTATAAACCACCAAAGAATTTAAACAATGACGCTAATAACGAGTAATGTAACACTTGTCTAAAACAAATTAAGTCATATAAAATCACGT